TTTATAATTTTTGGTCTAATGGCACAGGAAATTGGGAAATTTAAAAAAAAACTAATTAATTCCTGTAATGAAACAAACCGACAAACATAATATGCCACAAAACTATATGGGTTCTAGGTACAATGCTAACGTGTTTACAAACAAGGGAGAGTGGTTGTGAGCGGCTCTTCCCTGCCGGAAGTAAACACAACAATGTCACCAAACGGGTTCCGCAATTCGGTAATGATATACGTGGTTACTCCTATTGCATATACTCTTTGTGTATGCGTGTACTTATCTACTTATGCCTGCATGATCGAACATTAGCTTAGGGACATCGTCTTTCTATCCGTTGGTTGTCTAGTGCAGCCTCTTGCCCTATTCCTCAATCATACATTTCAAATTATGAATGGAGATCGCTTCTAGAACTTACTTTTTTTTTGAGATATATACAAGAGTTGTTACATTCTTGTACAGCCACTAGTACCTGCTTGATGGGGTTCTGGGTACTTCCCAAGCCCGGCCCGAGGCCAGGCTTGACTTGTGAGTTTGGTCCACCAGGCTGTTGCTTGGAGCGGCCCGCAAGCCCACATACCCACCACAGCCCGGCTGATCCGGAACTTCTCTTAGAAAACAGTCTAGTTTTCTCTTGAAGTTGTCCACGGTTGTTCCGGCAATATTTCCTATAGTCGCTGGGAGGACGTTGAACAACTGCGGACCTCTGATGTTTATACAGTGTTCTCTGATTGTGCCTATGGCACCTCTGCTCTTCACTGGTTCTATTCTGCATTTTCTTCCATATCGTTCACTCCAGTACGTTGTTATTTTACTGTGTAGATTTAGGACCTGTCCCTCCAGTATTTTCCATGTGTATATTATTTGGTATCTCTCTCGTCTCCTTTCTAGTGAGTACATTTGGAGAGCTTTGAGACGATCCCAATAATTTAGGTGTTTTATTTCGTCTATGCGTGCCGTATATGTTCTCTGTATTCCCTCTATTTCAGCAATCTCCCCTGCTCTGAAGGGGGAAGTGAGTACTGAGCAGTACTCGAGACGGGACAACACAAGTGACTTGAAGAGTACAACCATTGTGGTGGGATCCCTGGATTTGAAAGTTCTCGTAATCCATCCGATCATTTTTCTGGCTGACGCAATATTTGCTTGGTTATGCTCCCTAAACGTTAGATCGTCGGACATCATTATTCCCAAAACCTTGACATGCTGTTTTTCTACTATGGGAAGATTCGATTGTGTTTTGTACCCTATATTATGTTTCAGGTCCTCATTTTTGCCGTACCTGAGTACCTGAAATTTATCACTGTTAAACATCATGTTATTTTCTGCTGCCCAATCGAAAACTTTGTTGACATCTGCTTGTAATTTTTCAATGTCTTCAGCAGAGGTAATTTTCATGCTGATTTTTGTGTCATCTGCGAAGGATGACACGAAGCTGTGATGTGTATTTTTGTCTATATCTGATATGAGAATAAGGAACAGCAGTGGTGCAAGAAATGTACCTAGAGGTACAGAGCTTTTAACTGCGCTTGGACTCGATTTTATTTGATTGACTGTTACTCTTTGTGTTCTGTTCGACAGGAAATTGCGTATCCAGCGTCCTACTTTTCAAGTTATTCCCATTGACCTCATTTTGTGTGCTATCACCCCATGGTCACATTTGTCGAACGCCTTTGCAAAGTCTGTGTATACAATATCTGCATTTTGCTTTTTGCTTTTCTTCTAGAGCTTCTGTGATTTTGTCATAGTGGTTGAGTAACTGTGACAGACAGGATCTTCCCGCTCTAAATCCATGTTGTCCTGGGTTGTGCAACTCATTGTTTTCCATAAAACTAGAAATTTGATTCCTAATCACTCTTTCAAACAATTTTATTATGTGTGATGTTAGTGCAACTGGCCTATAATTTTTTGCCAAGGCTTTTCTCCCCCCCCCCCCTTGTGCAACGGAGCTATATCTGCAGATTTAAGTGCTGCTGGTATCTCCCCTGTATCCAGGCTCTTTCTCCATATTACGCTGAGTGCTCTCGCTATTGGTACTTTACATTTCTTTATGAATATTGAATTCCACGAGTCAGGCCCAGGAGCTGAGTGCATAGGCATATTGTCAATTTCTCTTTCAAAGTCTTCCGAGTTCGTGTTAATATCCGTTGTATTATCTGCAGCTTGAATGTCATTCATAAAGAAGCTGTCTGGGTCATCAACTTTCATGTTGTTTATTGGTGTTCTAAACATGGCCTCATACTGGCTTCTTAGAATTTCACTAATCTCTTTGTTGTCCTCTGTGTACGTACCTTCATTTGTAATTAACGGTCCAATGCTGGTCGAGGTTTTTTATTTTCATTTTGCGTATGTGAAAAAATAGTTTGTATTTTTCTTTGCCTCTTGTATAGCTTTCTGTGACTCATATGATCGCTTCAATGTTTGTTCTATTTCTTCGATCTTCGATAGTACGCGTAGCGTTTCGGACAGGTCCTTGGAATACGATCCCCGCCGTGAAGAATCGTTTTTACAACAAAGTACCCATTTTACTGTTGAGTTAAACAGAGGCTACAGTTAAGGATTTGCGCCCAGTAAATCCTCCCCGGCCAGGATACGAACCCATGACAAAGCGCTCGCGGTACGCCAGGCGAGTGTCTTACCATTACACCACGGAGACTGGTAAATAGTATTATAAATAGTACTCTTTTACTATAATTGTACTATTACTTTATAATAGTACTATTAAAATAGTACTCTTTTAGTTCTTTCGGCAAAAATCTGAAGCCTGACTAAGACGACCCTGGCGAAGAGTTTGCCAACGACGCTGAGGAGGGATATGCCGCGATAGTTGTTTACATCGCTTCTGTCACCTTTATTTTTGTAGAGAGTGATGATGTTTGCATCTCTCATGTCTTGTGGCACCGAGCCCTCCCTCCAGCACTGGCACAGAAGTTCGTGAAGCTCAGTTTTAAGTGTTCCACGAGCACACTTGAGAACTTCGGGCAGAATCCCGTCGTCTCCTGGGGCCTTCCCTGAGGAAAGTGAATCCACTGCTTTCTCAACTTCTTCCACAGTTGGTTCAAGATCAAGTTCTTCCATGATGAGCAGGCATTCGATTGTATCCAAAGCCTCTATGCTGACTAAGTTCTCTCTGGAGTAGAGTTCGGAGTAATGTTCCCCCCAGCGATTCGTCTGTTGATCACGGTCTTTAATGATCTCTCCATTGGCTGACTTCAGAGGAGCCGTCCTGTTTGGTGTAGGGCCTGTTGCCTGTTTGATCCCTTCGTACATGCCTCTTATGTTGCCGACAGTGGCCGCAGTCTGGATGCTGGAACAGAGTCGAAGCCAGTAATCATTAGTACAACGCCTCGCAGTTTGTTGAACTCTACTGCGGGCAGTACGGAGGGCCTGTAGGTTCCTTTCTGAGGGCAGGTTCTTGTAGGATGAGAGAGCTCGTCTCTTTTTCCTCTACGAGGGGTAACAGTTCCTCTGCACTGGCCTCGAACCAATCTGCTGACTTGTTCTGCCTCTTACCGAAGGTGGACATGGCAGTGTTGATAATAGTGCCCTTGAGATGTGACCACCTCACCAATTGCGCTATCGCAGGGTGGTACAGGAAGGGCATTTACCAGCGCCGCAGAGAATTCCACCACCTTGTGAAGGTCACGGGTCTTGTTTACGTTAATGCGTGGTCTTCACTCCTTCTTTGCTCTGTGGATTTTCCGGGGCTGGAACTTTACTCTGCAAACGACGAGAGAGTGGTCGGTGTCACAATTTGCGCTCTGGAAGCTGCAGGTCAGTTTGACGTTTCTCAGATTGCTACGCCCCGTAAGCACCAGGTCGAGTTGGTGCCAATCCTTAGACCTGGGGTGTCTCCAGGAAACCTTATGCTGGGGCTTGGTGTCGAAGAAGGAATAGGTGATGCAGAGATCATGACGGCAGCAGAACACCAGGAGGCGCTGCCCACTCTCATTCATCTTCCCAAATCCAAACTGGCCCAGGCAGGAAGGCCAAGAGCTGTGATCAGAACCAACTCTTGCATTAAAATCTCCCAGGAGGAAGACTGGCTCTTGTTGAGGTATGTCTCTGAGAGTTAGGCCGAGGTCATCATAGAACTCGTCCTTCGCTTCGGTAGAGGAGGTCAGTGTTGATGTTTAGCTAGTCTTATCCATGTTATAGTTTCGAGCAACTTGCAGTAGATGCTTGTCAGTAATACTGGTCTGAAATTTAGTGCCTTTCTATATCCTTTCTTATATACTGGTACGACATTTACTATCTTACAAGAGTTGGGTAAACTTTTCCTTTTCGGCTGTGGAGACATGATAACCACCTACAAAATTCTCAGGGGAATTGACAGGGTGGACAAACTCCTTCTCGCCTCACTTATTCGAGAAGGGATGTATTAGAGTTTTGTGTGTGTGTGTACTCACCTAATTGTACTCACCTAATTTTGCTTGCGGGGGTTGAGCTCTGGCTCTTTGGTCCTGCCTCTCAACTGTCAATCAACTGATGCACAGATTCCTGAGCCTACTGGGCTCTATCATATCTACATTTGAAACTGTGTATGGAGTCAGCCTCCACCATATCACTGCCTAATGCATTCCATCTGTTAACTACTCTGACACTGAAAAAGTTCTTTCTAACGTCCCTGTGGCTCATTTGGGTACTCAGTTTCCACCTGTCCCCTTGTTCGCATCCCAACCGTGTTAAACAGTTTATCTTTATCTACCCTGTCAATTCCTCTTGAGAATTTCGTAGGTAGTGCTCATGTCTCCCCTTACTCTTCTGTTTTCTAGTGTCGTGAGGTGCATTTAATGCAGCCTTTCTTCATAACTCATGCATCTTAGTTCTGGGACTAGCCTACTGGCATATCTCTGAACTTTTTCAAGCTTTGCCTTGTGCTTGACAAGGTACGGGCTCCATACTCCAGGATTGGTCTTATGTAACACTGGTTGATGTTGTTGTTGACCGGGGATGGTCGAAGGTTACTCGGTAGTGGGCAGGAATTGGAGTACCAAACGTCCACTACTTGTCCTTAGTTTTATTATAAAAATATATATCTTGTACACGGGCTAGGCTCTAGAAGCTTAGAGTGTGTGAGGGAGCGTGTTTAGACGCTTCGTTGCCCAGGCTGTCTCTGAAGGTCTGAGGGCTGCAGGGCGCAGGGCTACATTCAGATCTGCTGACAACGTTGTTGATACCTATTAAGTTGTTTAGCTTAGCGCCGGCCATCATAAGAGAGTATTGGGTCACCCCATGTGTATGTCCATGGCGCCTAATTGGGGTCCAACACCGCCCGGCACGCTATCATTGGCGTCCTCGGCGATCTGCTTGACAAATTTGATAACCCTTGGACGTGTACCTAAATAACATTATATACAGGAAAACAATGATTTACCTATAGTGGCCGTAAACAAACAAGCTTATTGTTTGAGACGTCCAACACCGTCTCTGACATGCATGAATAATGAGTACAATGCTTAAATATAATCCTAAAACTAAGCTATCCATGGAGCATCTTGACTAGCTAGCTAAATGTCTGCGGAAACTGGAGGCAGGAGGTCCGGCTGCAGGTAGAGGTGGTAGCTGTAGAGTCAGAGGACCAGAAGTTGCGCGTAGGAATTCATGATGCTCAGCCACAGTGTTACCTGTTGAGTAGGTTATAAACGGTAGACACTAATGTAGGCACAATATATTACATGGCAATACATTGAATAAGCGACAGTTCCACTAAAATATGGAGAGCATGAACGTGGCAGGAACACGAGGACCTACATAGTGTATAGAGACACGACAAGATCAATGAACTATGAACAAAGATACCTGAGGTGGAAGGGTCTATATACATTGAGCCGAGGGTTGCAAAACGATTGTTGTAATCACTCTTAAATCTAGTCTAAAACTATGAATTCTTAGGTGCTAGTCCATCACGAAAGTAGTCTTCCTCTGCCACGTATGAACAGGCAGGGAAAGGGGAGCAGATAGAACGCATCCATTGTCCCTTACAGACTGGAACACCACGGTCACACGAAGTACACACAGTACACCATGGAGACTGGCAGGCACAGTGCTTTTGCTCCTTCATTTAGTATCCATGATGATATTCCATATGGGCCTATAGCCTTTGTCACATCCAACTCTAACAAAAGCTTCCTTACATCTCCTCTGGTAATCTCAAATTCCTCTAGTGGTGCCTGGTTAATTATTCCTTCTCTTATCTCTGGAACTTCTCCTTGCTCTAATGTGCAGATTTCCTGGAATTTTATATTGAGTTCCTCGCACACTTCTTTGTCGTTTGTAGTGAATCTGTCTGCCCCTAACCTCAGCTTCATTACCTGTTCCTTCACTGTTGTCTTTCTCCTGATGTTGCTGTGCAGCAATTTGGGTTCAGTCTTAGCCTTGCTTGCTATGTCGTTTTCATACTGCCCTTCTGCCTCTCTTCTCACCCTGACGTATTCATTCCTGGCTCTCTGGTAACCATCTCTGCTCTCAAGTTACCTGTTATTTCTACAGTTTCTCCATGCTCTTTTACTTTGTTACTTAGCTAGCTTACATCTCTGATTAACCGTGGGTTTCTCATCTGCATTTCAGTTTTTACCTTTTGGGCCAGGATAAACTTTTCTTCTGCCTCTTTGCACTTCTGCGTGATGTATTCCATCATGTCTTGGGCCATCTTTCTCCTTAGCTCTGATTCCCATGTTATATTCGTTAGAAATTTTCTTATCTCCTCGTAATTTCCTTTACAGAATGCTAGCCTTTTGCTTTCAGTTCTCTTTCTCGAGTACTTTATCCCTTCTTCGACCAGATACTCAAACGTCAGTACACTGTGATCACTCATTCCTACTGGGGCCTCGAAGTTAATTTCCTTTATGTCGGAGTCATTCAGAGTGAAGACTAGGTCGAATCTCGTTGGTTCATCGTTTCCTCTCATCCTAGTGAGTTCCCTGACATGTTGGCTTAGAAAGTTTCTTGTCCCCACCTCCACTAGTCTGGCTCTCCATGTATTCTCTCCTCCGTGCGGTTCCTTGTTCTCCAAGTCTATCCTTCCGTGATTGTAGTGTCCCATGATGAGCAGATGGGATCGTGTGTGTGTGTGTGTGTGAAGGTGGTGACGGGTAGGTAAGTTGGTGAACGATAGGGAAGTGATGAATGGCAGGGAAGGCGGCGAGTGGTTACCTTGAGATGATTTCGAGGCACAGCGTCCCCGCGGCCCGGTCCTCGACCAGGCCTCTCTGATCGAAGTAGTGAAAGCTTGGGAAGCCTTCTCCACCTTCGCTACCATAATGGTAAGGAAGATGGTGAAAGGTTCGGAAGATGATGAATGATGAGGAAGGATGTAATGAGCAGGGAGGGTGGTCAAATACTGATGTAGTATCCCTAGGAATGGCCAGCATTTTATCCTTGGTGAAGTCTCGTCCACATTAAAGTTAGTATGCAAGGTTAACTATTTTCAGAACTATATGCAATTGTAATTCTTTTTTTAATTTGTATTTATATTATATTTTATTGCTTATATCTATATATTTCTTTTTTTTTAATTTTCTTTCGTTAGCTAGGAAAATATGAAATGTATGTGTTGAAGTGCATCTTATTTACAAGTTGCACTTTTACAAGACATTCTTGTCTAATTGTTTTAATCATAGTGGAAATGATTCAGCAATTAAGACAAAGGATTCTTATGTGAAGATCCAAAATAATAAAGTGACTCCTAAAACGCAATGCTTACCTTTATAAGTAAGCCTTATTTTAACTGGGAATAACTGAACCCATGACAACTACCATCACTCTTGTACGAGGCTACAGTTTAGTCTCTTGCCGGGATTTCATCCTATCTTCCCAGGTTGGCGGGAAACAATGCGTTTGTTTATTCCAAATCACTTCCATATTATTGTAAACTTTGGTTGCAGGATCATTATAATTGAGCGCTTCACATATGCGGCAATAGTGAAAGACTTGTGAGGCGAAGTATCCGTGTTCATTCAGCACCCGATATCTGGAGCGCCAGTCATGGTATCTGCTGTACGCCTCGGGGTTTGAAGCCAAGAACCTGCAATACACAATAATACTTAATGCTTCATCAATCGATTTCAATGGACAGACAATTAATTTATTCTTACTGTTGAACACATGAGATCCATTTTATAGGTCCATTGATTACGTGCACCTATTTCAAGTTATAAACACTACGGACTGTTTTAACACTCGCTGAAGTTGGAGAGATTACATTTTCATACTCTGGCCCCACAACGACATTATTGGGTGACACACATATTCAACTCTCAGCCACCAATTAGGCAATGTGTTAGGTTATCCAGCAAGACTTGGTATCCACCGAGGTATTTGAGTGTCTTCATAACGAGCAAATTTTCATATATTATCATAAGTTTTGGTATGTGAACGAATATTTGCATAACTAGATTATTCTACAGCTAATCTAGAAACAAAGGTCTAGGTTGGCTGCTGTGACATGCATGGCTCCCGAGAAAATTATAGATCTAGTTTAAATAAATAAATAAATAATATATATACATATATAAAAATACATAGGGGGGGGGGTACCACCTCTGGTTGTTTGTAGAGCTCGAAGAAGACGAAATGCAGCATATATATATATATATATATATATATATATATATATATATATATATATATATATATATATATATATATATATATATATATATATATATATATATATTTTTTTTTTTTTTTTTTTTTTTTAAGTGTGTATATTTATCTAACTTTATTTGAAAATGTCATTACACAAAAAAAGTTACAATATTGATTACATACAGGGTACAAGGCTGCTTGTCATAAGTTGAATAGCTCCTCCAGCTCCTCAGATGGCGGGCAGGAACCATGGATGCAGTGAGCATTTCCTCTCTGGATTGCCACACTAAGGCGCTGAAAAAGAAAACTGGCAGCTCTGGGGTCTCTAGTTGTTTCGATTAGCTTAGACCCCAACTCCTTTAAAAAGCTAGCAGCACTTTTACCCCAGGCACCAAGCGTCTCTGAGGCAATGGGGACAAAATTGTAGTGGTGCTCAAGGTCTCTGTATATATATATATATATATATATATATATATATATATATATATATATATATATATATATATATATGCGCGTATATATGTATGTGTGTATATATATATATATATATATATATATTATTAAATATGACCGAAAAAGTAAGATTAATAATTCTAACACGAATTTTCTCAATCCTTCGTACATTATGCTTCACTGTTGGAGGTAAATCAAAAATCACTTCTCCAAAATTCATTTTTATTTCTAGTCTGACGCGACACGGGCGCGTTTCGTAAAACTTATTACATTTTCAAAGACTTCACAAATACACAACTGATTAGAACTTGCGTTTCCCTGATTTTATATCTACATTTGAGTGAGGTGGGAAGGGTGATGTGGCATTACATTTGAGTGAGGTGGGAAGGATGATGTGGCATTAACACAAGACAGAACACTAGAGGATATTAATAGGGTATTAAAAGTATCAACACAAGACAGAACACGAAAAAATGGGTATTGAATAGAAGTGTTTGTAGAAAGCCTATTGGTCCATATTTCTTGATGCTTCTATATTGGAGCGGAGTCTTGAGGTGGGTAGAATATAGTGGTGCAATAATTGGCTGTTGATTGCTGGTGTTGACTTCTTGATGTGTAGTGCCTCGCAAACGTCAAGCCGCCTGCTGTCGCTGTATCTATCGATGATTTCTGTGTTGTTTACTAGGATTTCTCTGGCGATGGTTTGGTTATGGGAAGAGACTATATGTTCCTTAATGGAGCCCTGTTGTTTATGCATCGTTAAACGCCTAGAAAGAGATGTTGTTGTCTTGCCTATATACTGGGTTTTTTGGAGCTTACAGTCCCCAAGTGGGCATTTGAAGGCATAGACGACGTTAGTCTCTTTTAAAGCGTTCTGTTTCGTGTCTGGAGAGTTTCTCATGAGTAGGCTGGCCGTTTTTCTGGTTTTATAGTAAATCGTCAGTTGTATCCTCTGATTTTTGTCTGTAGGGATAACGTTTCTATTAACAATATCTTTCAGGACCCTTTCCTCTGTTTTATGAGCTGTGGAAAAGAAGTTCCTGTAAAATAGTCTAATAGGGGGTATAGGTGTTGTGTTAGTTGTCTCTTCGGAGGTTGCATGGCTTTTCACTTTCCTTCTTATGATGTCTTCGATGAAACCATTGGAGAAGCCGTTATTGACTAGAACCTGCCTTACCCTACAGAGTTCTTCGTCGACTTGCTTCCATTCTGAGCTGTGGCTGAGAGCACGGTCGACGTATGCGTTAACAACACTCCTCTTGTACCTGTCAGGGCAGTCGCTGTTGGCATTTAGGCACATTCCTATGTTTGTTTCCTTTGTGTAGACTGCAGTGTGGAAACCTCCGCCTTTTTCCATGACTGTTACATCTAGAAAAGGCAGCTTCCCATCCTTTTCCGTCTCGTAAGTGAAACGCAGCACGGAACTCTGCTCAAATGCCTCCTTCAGCTCCTGCAGATGTCTGACATCAGGTACCTGTGTAAAAATGTCGTCAACATACCTGCAGTATATGGCCGGTTTCAAGTTCATGTCGACTAAGACTTTTTGCTCGATGGTACCCATGTAGAAGTTTGCAAACAGGACACCTAGGGGAGAACCCATGGCGACCCCATCTACTTGCTTATACATGTGCCCATCCGGGCTCAAGAAGGGTGCCTCTTTAGTACAAGCTTGGAGTAGTTTCCTCAGAATACTTTCTGGCATGTCAAGAGGAGTACAGGCTGGATCACGATACACTCTGTCGGCTATCATTCCGATTGTCTCGTCCACAGGTACGTTGGTGAACAGCGATTCTACGTCCAACGAGGCTCTTATCCCTGTGGCCCGTGCGCCCCGCAGTAAGTCCACAAATTCCTTTGGAGACTTCAGGCTGAAGGCGCAAGGAACATAAGGAGTCAGCAGGCCGTTGAGTCGCTTCGCCAGTCTGTACGTGGGTGTGGGTATCTGGCTAATGATTGGCCGAAGTGGGTTTCCAGGCTTGTGCGTCTTGACATTTCCATACGCATATCCAGGTTTATATTTAAAATGAATTTTGGAGAAGTGATTTTTGATTTACCTCCAACAGTGAAGCGTAATGTACGAAAGATTGAGAAAATTCGTGTTAGAATTATTAATCTTACTTTTTCGGTCATATTTAATAATATATGTCTACAGGAAAGACTGCTACCAAAATATACTAATATATATATATATATATATATATATATATATATATATATATATATATATATATATATATATATATATATATATATATATATGCTGCATTTCGTCTTTATATATATATATATATTTATATATATATATATATATATATGCTGCATTTCGTCTTCTTCGATATATATATATATATATATATATATATATATATATATATATATATATATATATATATATATATATACTCACCTATTTGTGCTTGCGGGGGTTGAGCTCTGGCTCTTTGGTCCCGCGATTGTATGTGTGTGAATAGTGTGAAGAAGTTTGTTACTCACTGAAGGTGCTTGGCGAGGTGTTGTGGTGAATCATACTCATCGATGTGAATGAAGGAATTTGGTGGCATAAGCTTTTTATAGTTTTCCACCGATGTACCCATTACCACAGGAACAGCTCCCTTCCCTAAGGCATTCCACCACACCTGATGAAACACCACATGTTAAAGTACAGAAAATGATCGCTAACATTATAGTACTGAAAATAATTGAATGTCTTTTTTCATACATGTACAAGTGATTGTACAGGGAGGGGGGGGGGGGAGATATTGAAGTTGAACATACTGTTTATGCATATGAATTCGCCTCTTTCATTCCATACTATATTTTTGAGTATAAACAAAAGTAAAATTCTGCAAATCACTTAATAATCATGTTCGATCACATACTTGGAAAGGGAAGAGCTTTCTTGCCTATATCTGATAGATCTTGCATGTTATACTAGTCGTGTGTAAATCCCAAGCTGTCTGCCTGCCTGTGATGACTGATCACAGTCATCACAGCGCATTATATAAACATCTGAACTTTCTACAGTAATTTTATCTAGTATGCTCAAACTTTCCCTGTGACATTTATTAATTGCCAATATTTTTTTTATCAAATATACAATTACGTTATGATTTTTATAAATTATTATGGAGAGTTAAAGTATATTAGTTCTACTGCAGTGTGTTCAATAAATTAAACATACCTATAGATAAACTGATATCAACTCCAGACCTTAAAACTGCAATCAATTCATCCTTAATTATAATGGTAAAAATAAATCCAATATACTTGCCTAGTTTTAAAAATAGATGTACATGAAAAGTTTATATATATAATCTTCCTAAGCCTAAACTCGCGACTGACGAGTTACAGACCATATCATAAATATTCCAGCCCATCCTCACTTCTAGATAGTACCTCTAGTAAGGACGTAGACCACCGTACATATATTGACACAATGGACAATTAAAGTAGAATTTGGTACAATTGAATTTGGACTAACCGGAAAGGTTTTGAATTTATGTTGCTAATAGAATCTAACCAAACCATCCTAAGCCTAATGCACGTTATCTGAAGCCTAATATAGTACATTGATTGTAACCATGATATATATGTACTTCCGCCTACAGTTTAGACCTATTGTCTTATGTATGACCCTCTGTCCTGCGTGACAGTGGATACCAGCATTATCCTCACTTTAATAAGACTTAATCGAACTCCTCAGATTAGGCAAAATTTTAATTAATTTTGTCAATAAAGATGTTAATAATAAAATAACTTATATAGTACATATATGTGCTATACTAGCCTTAGAAATATTTAAGTTTGGTTTTGAGCTTTTTTTTTTTACTGTAAAGTGAAAGTACTTAATTCTCCTGCAGGCGATGAGTCACAATAACGTGACTAAAGTATGTTGACCAGACCACACACTAGAAGGTGAAGGGACGACGACGTTTCGGTCCGTCCTGGACCATTCTCAATCGACTTGAGAATGGTCCAGGACGGACCGAAACGTCGCCGTCCCTTCACCTTCTAGTGTGGTCAGGTCAACTTAATTCTCCTATCTATCTGGAGAATATGTCATTATATGTACAATGTTCCACATAGTTGCAAAAAGTACTATCTACAGAGGAGGATGGGTTGATTTACAAATACTGAATACAGCTTCAAAAATAGTTGAATGATGTTATTGTAAAAGTGACAGAAATATAGACATGCTTACCTTCTCTGTTAAATAATCACGACAATCCCCATTTTCAAATGCTAAATAAAATTTGTAGTCATTAAGAGCTTCGCAGTCCTTAGTGAAATGTCCCGAACACTTCAGGTTGCCACAGCCTCCATATGCATCTACTTCCATGTGCTTCTTCAGTTCTCTCACATATGCCCATCTTCTATTTATACCCCCACAGTTTGATCCTAGTATTGCTACAGTTTTTGGCTTTAGTTTGAAATAATCAACGTATTGATATGAGGCAGCCTCGTCTGGAGACATCTCCACTGTTCTACCGTACGGTACTGGGACATCACTGTCCATCCTGTAGCTCATTGACCAATTGAAGTAACCATTGTAATTTGCCATATTATTATCTTTAGCCACCATAAAGGTGTTGTATGGCGTCTCATCTGTTAACCAGATCCATCTTTGACTTATTTTGGTTCGGTTTGGGAAGGTGTGAGGTCCTTCCGTGCGATGGAGATGGATCAAAATGGCATCTGCTGTCTTTGCTGCCTCGTCTTCGTAAGTAAGCCTGCAGTTGTGAGTAGAACATGTACGAAAGGGGTCTTTATTTGCTTCACCATACTCTTTGAGTAAGCGTCTTTCAACTTTAGGACCAGTTTTCCAGAACAAAATCGTAAATGTTTTATTTTTCAAAGTACCTATCATTTCACTTAAATAAAGTCTTCTTCCCAAAGCAGATAAGCTCTGAATTTCATCTTCACTTAAATTTCTCCAGTTGTGACGACTTTCCCAAGAGATATTGTCAACACTTCCACTTTCTGTAATGTTCCCATTATTACTATCATCATGCAGGGAGCTCCTCTGTATAAATGAACGTAGCAGAAGACTAGCAGCAAGCAGGAAGCAGCAGAAGTGCAGCACATGCAGACAGCGCAGACGCCAAGTGCGCACCACTCTGCGTGCGATCATTCTAAACCCATGCATCACTACCCTAAGTGAACAAATATTTACACTATAATATGTATATGATTAATTATAAATAACAGTATATTAGCGTATGTTCTCTGGAATAGGATAACAAATAATAGATTTTAATTTTATTCATCTTATCTAAACAGATATATGTTATATCTTAACAGATATAGGCTATATCTTCAAAATCTAAACAGGGAAAGTAATGGTAGGAATTTCAACGCTAAAAAATAGTACTTAGATGTCTAGTATTTTTTAGGGATATGAGTAAGGTTTTAATATCTTGTATTAGGTTGAAATTTGTTAAGGTTCTTATGACTGATTTTTGCTTAATAATAAGTCTTAAGCAATAACCCATCCTCCTTAAGTTATAGTACTTTTTTGTAAGTATGTGGTCGAAAGTACCAATATGCGCTAATGGAGCCCTAATAAGCCTCTTTTTGTACTATTTTTATAGAATCCGAAAAAAAATAAAGATACATACCAAACTTAAACATTCCTAGGCCTAGTATACAATATATATATATATATATATATATATATATATATATATATATATATATATATATATATATATATATATATATATATATATATATATATATATATATATATATATATATATATATATACTATATTGTATTGACTTTTTTTGGATTCTGTATCAATATTGTATATCCTAAGAAGGGGAGTTAGAATTCTTACTCAGGAGCAAGCTCTAAGCCACACTGACCTGACAGAACTTGGAAGGTGAGACAGACTAAGAGCTGGGATATGAGGACAGACTAAGAACTGAATTATGAGGACATGCTATGAGCACGAGTGAGGGAACGGTGTTAAACCACTAGGAACATTGGGAATCGAACTCGGACTCACCAAAAAAAGCTATACCGAACAGTTCAAACATATCATCATACTAGCTTAGCGTTTATACTTGTAAATATCCCCTTCACTTTAGAATGAACTGTACTGAAAGTGAGTACATAATGAATAATACACAATTTACCACACTTAGGTCACACTCACCGTGCGCCACCTCCCACCGCGAACACCATCAGGTGCTGACTGACTCGCGACGCAGCTTCCCGCGACACCCCCGCCTGCGGAAAAAGAACGTACCGCTGACTGCGCGGAACGACGCTCGTATATGCTGACTGCACGGAACGACGCTCGTATATGCTGACTGCACGGAACGACGCTCGTATATGCTGACTGCACGGAACGACGCTCGTATATGCTGACTGCACAGAACGACGCTCGTATATGCTGACTGCACGGAACGACGCTCTTATATGCTGACTGCACAGAACGACGCTCGTATATGCTGACTGCGCGGAACGACGCTCTTATATGCTGACTGCACGGAACGATGCTCGTATATGTTGACTGCGCCATTCAGCAACCTTCAACCGGTGATATATATATATATATATATATATATATATATATATATATATATATATATATATATATATATATATATATATATATATATATATATATATATATATATATATATATATATATATATATATATATATATATATATATATATATATATATATATATATATATATATATATATATATATATATATATATATATAACTGAAAACTCACACCCCAGAAGTGACTCGAACCCATACTCCCAGAAGCAACGCAACTGGTATGTACAAGACGCCTTAATCCACTTGACCATCACGACCGGACATAATGAGGTGATAGCCGAGGCTATTTGAACCACCCCACCGCCGGCACTCGGATAGTAATCTTGGGCATAGCATTTTACCAAATCACCTCATTCTTTGGGGCACACGTGAGGAACACAAAGACCTGGGGACCATTCAGGCTTGTTCGCATATATATATATATATATATATATATATATATATATATATATATATATATATATGCGAACAAGCCTGAATGGTCCCCAGGACTATATGCGAATGAAAACTCACACCCCAGAAGTGACTCGAACCCATACTCCCAGAAGCAACGCAACTGGTAACTACAGGGCGCCTTAATCCGCTTGACCATCACGGCCGTCAAAAGGAAGTGATAGCCGAGGCTATTTGAACCACCCCACCGCCGGCACTCGGATAGTAATCTTGGGCATAGCATTTTACCAAATCACCTCATTCTTTGGGGCACACGTGAGGAACACAAAGACCTGGGGACCATTCAGGCTTGTTCGCATATATATATATATATATATATATATATATATATATATATATATATATATATATATATATATATATATATATATATATATATATAACTTTAGAACACTTTCCCACCAGGAGACTCGAACCCTAGCCAGCACAGAAGCCTTCCAGCAACTGGCATAACAGGTACGCCTTAACCCGCTCCACCACCTGCTCAGACCCTTAAAAGAGATGGTAATTTCGGAGTATTTAAATACACCAAAGATCACCACCTCCCAAGAGCACTAGAGCAAGTGAGGGGTCATTTATACGTTTATTTCATCAAGTCCCTGTTAATATGGGAAGACACAGTGTCTATGCTTAAGGCACAACTCTCCTAAACACGAGAGTGAAGAGTTCTTCACTCTCGTGTTTAGGAGAGTTGTGCCTTAAGTATAGACACTGTGTCTTCCCATATTAACAGGGACTTGATGAAATAAACGTATAAATGACCCCTCACTTGCTCTAGTGCTCTTGGGAGGTGGTGATCTTTGGTGTATTTAAATACTCCGAAATTACCATCTCTTTTAAGGGTCTGAGCAGGTGGTGGAGCGGGTTAAGGCGTACCTGTTATGCCAGTTGCTGGAAGGCTTCTGTGCTGGCTAGGGTTCGAGTCTCCTGGTGGGAAAGTGTTCTAAAGTTGTATACTTCACTCTCGTGTTTAGGAGAGTTGTGCCTTATATATATATATATATATATATATATATATATATATATATATATATATATATATATATATATATATATATATATATATATATATATATATATATATATATGTCGTACCTAGTAGCCAGAACGCACTTCTCAGCCTACTTTGCAAGGTCTGATTTGCCTAATAAGCCCAGTTTTCCTGAATTAATATATTTTCTCTAATTTTTTTCTTATAAAATGATAAAGCTACCCATTTCATTATGTATGAGGTCAATTTTTTTTTATTGGAGTTAAAATTAACGTAGATATATGACCGAACCTAACCAACCCTACCTAACCTAACCTAACCTATCTTTATAGGTTAGGTTAGGTAGCCGAAAAAGTTAGGTTAGATTAGGTTAGGTAGTCGAAAAACAATTAATTCATGAAAAATTGGCTTATTAGGCAAATCGGGCCTTGCATAGTAGGCTGGGAAGTTCGTTCTGGCTACTAGGTACGACATATATATATATATACTTTTTTTTTATTTTTACTCCTAATAGTTGGGAGCTGTGATGATCCATCTGCAAGATTCACCCATTACTATAGGATAGTCAGCTTGAATTAATTCAAATAATCGCTATGCAAATAAAATAATAAACCATTACTTGGAATAAAAAATAAATATAGACCGAATATTTCGGTCCCAAGTCAGGCGGGAGCCTCTCCATACCATTTCCCATTTCCAACCATCGTCAGGCAGCAACAGGTTCATACCATTGTTCTGACCGTGGTGAGAAAGTGTCACCAAAATAGCGGATTCGAGTATATCTGGAGTGTGAGAGTTATTGCAGCCTCGTCCAGTGAGTCCCTGACGGTAATCTGGCTTTACAGGTGTGGTGCTCTACAGGTGTGGTGCTATACAAGTGTGGTGTTATACAGGTGTAGAGGGCGCGTGTCGCTTATTATCTGCATCAGCAGTTGGTGCAGTACTGTATACGTGACTCACCAGGACCACATGTGTGCCTCACTGCTGCCACGTTACTGTCCAATCACTGTGTGGGGTCACGTCACTGGGTGGGCCACGTCACTGTGTGGGGCCACGTCACTGTGTGGGGGCCACGTCACTATGTGAAACCACGTCACTGTGTGGGACCACGTCACTTCTATTTGAGCCACGCCATAGTAAGGGTCACGTCACAGAGTAGACCGCATTAGGGTGTAGTTTGCGTCACAGAGAGGATGTCTGGAAGACGGATATGGTGTAACGGGGGGTGGGGGAATTAGCTCTATCTTGTCCATTATTCCACCCCCCAGTTAACTAACGAGGCCGGGGGAAACAGCTCTCTCTAGTCCGTTATCCCGTCCCCAGTTAGCTAACTATTCTAGAGCACCTCCAGAGATCCTAAGGCAACCTCTCTCGTTCAACACCTTGTAACCTAGGTCTTTGACTACCTAGGTGCTAAGACTACAAGGCGCCGTAACTGGAAACAGTTACCCGAAACTCTAGAGAGAACTCTAGAATACAGAATCATTGCCTCAAACGTAAAAGAGATAACGAAAGGAAAGAAATGCATAGTGAAGTAATTAGTGAGGGTTTGGGGTGAGAGGGAGAGAAGTGGGAGGAGCGAGGAGGGTCATTAGCTGAAAGTGAGAGTTTAGAGAGGGGTGGAGGGAGAGGAATAGATAGGTAGTAGTAGAAGAGTAGAAAGTAGACGTAGAAGAGTAGATAGTAGAAGACGAAATGCTGCCACCATCCATTCATGATCATTACATACAAGACAAGGAATGGAACTTGTCTGTATCAAAATATTCTCAAAAGATGTTATTACCATGTATCAACTCCAAACATGTATTCATTAATATCATGAAACCAGTAACCACAGAGGCTTTCTCACCTCAACTCAAAGCTCTAGGGGACAAAGTTAAACACAATTTAAATAATAAATTCATAATTATATTTCACATGAAGTATCATAATTTAGCAATTCAATTAAAATGTTTCAGTTTAATATGCAAAGTGAGTCATCATCCAAGAATTCGAGAACCCTACAACTTGACTGCCCCTGATCATCACACAACATATGTAAACACGACCAAGTCACCTTACTGCTCAACTCACCGAGGGCTGAGTCTAAGTTGAATAGAGAGGGGGGGGGGGTCTGTAGCTTGACAGAGACTGTCTCGCCCCTGCCGGCCGACAGCCTCCCTGCTAGGGACGTCTTCTCTGCTCTGCTGGCTCGTCTGCTCTTCTTAATGCTCATGCTCTATGCTCCCTCAGTAAATATTGGGGACCCTAGTACTAACTCCGCCCACAAGTAGATAGCCTCCGGCACTACCAAGCCACTCCTTAAAGGTCGGCATGTTTAAAGGCTACCAGACTACAATTATAAGCTTAGCGGAAGCAAGGTGAAATTCTCATGATCTGACCTCAGGTCACTTGAGGTCATTAACGCTTTGAGGTGTAAGATCTCAGGCCGACAAACTGGCGCCTCTCAGATCCTTGTCTGTGACTCATGTACTCTATGTATGTATTAAACTAAACCAAACACTTTTACAGTGTTACAATGGACGACAAAGTCCCCTCAAGAATTACACATGGGATAGTAACTATAATGACATAATATACAAGAGATAGCTCCTGTAAGATGTATACTGAGATAGATTTCATGATGACGCGAGATGTATAGAATCTGCCCGTCCTCTCGAGCGTCACACGTCACAAAATGGTACAATAAATTGCCCAAACTTACTCTAATCTAGGACCCATGGACAGAAAACGCGACATCACGTCAATTTTTTGAGAGCCTAGTATGATTTTTTAGCATATCATTGTTAGGCTTCGTGGGATTTATACGTCAAGTGCGATATACCATTCTAGCTCTTATACATAAGAAAATTTGGATAAGACATAGTAGTTGTCATCCTAAAAAGAGATGTAGGTGTAAGAAAGTATACACACCATATAGAAGGTATATATATATATAAGGTATATAAAAGGTATAGGTGTAAGAAGGTATAGAGATACACACGGCTATAGGATAGTCACAGTTTAATGTGTTTAATCCAACAAATTTTACATCAGAGCGAGTCATAATATATTCACCCTTAACATAGGTGAATATAAAGAACATTTTAACGGTTGGTCTACATCATGCACTGTACGCAACATCTGTGTAAACACTCTATGCAAATAAAGGGACCTAGTCAATGGAACTCACTCCCTAACGTATTGAAAAGCTGTCCAACTTTTACCTTATTCAAAAACAAAAATTACCTATTTTCATCTTCATAGTTTCTTACCTAGTGCTCTAAACTCGCATTGTGTCTTGTTCTACCCAATCCCCCAATATATATGTACCTAAGCCATACAACTTTATCATTGTAATCATTGCTGTAATCTTATATATGCTATCAAATGGCTTTATTGTGCCTACTAATCTTTGTCAAATTATCAATCAAGTTATCAGTGCTATCAATCAAAGCTATCAATGTGCTGTAATCTATATAAATATCAATGTAATATATTAATCTCTCTCAAATTTTTCCTACAGTGTACCTGTTAACATTTTATAAATTTTGCAAGAATTTACCTTCTTAATATTATCTATTAGATGAAGGATCTGCCCGAAACGCTGTGCGTACTAGTGTCTTTACAAGAATGTAAACACATCATACTCTCACAGACCCAAAGTACCTTCTTGTATATATATAAGTAAAATAAATAAATAAATCTGTGTTTATGCCAGTAATGATACATGCTGTATTGTTGACTTACATGTGCCTAATACGTAGATACGTGTATAGGTTTTATTACAATAATTGTACATCTATAATTGTCGCCACACTTAGCAACAAAAGTTCAGCCTAAAACAGCCATTGCAGACGATGAGTCACAATAACGTGGCTGAAGAAATGATGACCAAACTCTAGCTCAGAAGATGGAGAAGCGACGACGTTTCGGTCCGTCCCCGACCATTATTCAGGATGGATCCATTATCCTGGACCATTATTATTATTATCATCATCACACGACTTGATAATGGTCCAGGAGGGACTGAAACTTTGTGGCTTCTCCACCTTCTGAACTGTGGTTTAGTTATTATAAAAGATCCATTGTTTAACTTTGGTCGCTGTAAACTGCACAAGACAAATGTCATACTTATTTAAATATATGAGATATATTTTTAGTTGTGGAATTCCAAAAGCATCGTAAGGAATATTTTGTTCTTATTTTGATAAATTAGAAAAATTCTTATAATTTCGACCTCAAAACGGTATAGGGGAAACCAACATTGCTTATTTAGCTTATATTTTTAGGCTCAGGACAGGTGAATAAGTTACTTGTCCACTTGTGTGGCCTGCATTTGTAGTATTACAATAGTAAAAAAACGAACTTTTTGGGTACAAGTTTATTTTTGTACGTTCAACCAACAGTTGTTGTAAATACTCGTATTTTGTGAGGATGGTTTGAGAGCAAAGAGAGGAGCAACTATATCATTTTGCTTTACAGACTAAACCCCCTATCGGCGGTTAGTTCGCAGAGGCCAAACTCCAAGTGGACCACCTTGTTCTGGTACTGGTGCAGACATTACACAGTAGAACAAGTTGCACATATACGAAATCTTACTCTAAATATCACGGCATCAGGGAACCCTCAGGAGGTTACCAACGGAATGATTCCAGCGATGCAGCTACGATATCTCCTGGACCAGAGGTTCCCCAACTCTGGGCCGTTCTTGAAGGGCCGCTAGGCCCCGGAGGGCATCTGTATTTAGGGGGTCGCTAGCCAAAACCTTCTGGTAGCACAGCGACGCCTGCAGGTTGTCGCCTGCCTGGTAGTGAAGTCGCCCTTGAGTCAGAAGGTTCTCCACGTGGACGGTGGAGAGCGCTGCTGTCTTCATACTGGCCTCCCCGCCGCCCACAGCCGCACCTTCTGCAACACAACCCAGCCTCCTGTTTACACACTAGTTTTTGTAACATAGTTCAAAGATTGCCGTTCTAAACAATTAGATAGTAGAACTTTGTACTGTTCACTTTATAGAGTCGGAAAATGAAGCTAAAAAAAACAAACTTTAATGTTCCTAGGTCTAGTATAGCGCACATATGTACTATATTAGGCCTCAGATATCATGCGTTAGGCCTAGTAAGGCTAGGTTAGGTTTGTTTAGTTTGTCTTTGCAACACAAGTAGAAAATAGTTTTCCGGTTTGTCCAACTCAATAGTGCCGATTTCTACTTTCTAGTTGCGATGTACGTCAGTATATATACTATGGTCTTCATCGTTACTGTAAGTACTACCACAACAGAAGGATGGGCTGCTATAACAACACAACCATTACTGAACACTAACCCCGTGCACCTCTGAACCCGTTCTGGAATGATCAAACTTTACATTACTGATGAGTGAGGATGTTCTGCTGATGCTCCAGACTAAACTTACAGGCACCTGTGGTGTACAGATAGGTAAGGTAATTATCAGGAGAAAGCACTAAGCCAGTACGACTATCGTATCAAACTAGAAGGATGGTATTTTAGCAGTTTTGTAAGATATCGGCCCTTGAAGCCCAATCCTTTGGATTTGGATAACCTAACCAATAACGAAATCTGTGTATTAGACCAGGAAACATGCAGAAATAATTACTAAGGCAGGAAAATAACGAGGTGCCACTAGTGTTGTCAATTTCAGGGTACAACACTATGACACACTTGTCTTTTTAATATTTCTCACAACTCTGAACTGCCTTACTTAACAAATCCTAAATAGTCTTTTATAACCTTAGGTCACCTAACCAAGCAGAACCCAACACAAACCTTGCTAGGATTGTCGACACGGTTAACATATTTTCGTACGTATTTGCCACGAAGTTTCAAAATGCTTCATCTGTATATACTTTGTCACAACTATCACAGGCTATACGTAGAGTAAAAAAAAATGATGCTTGGCTGCTAGGATTTACGAAATAAATATGTCAGCTGTGTCGATAACACCAATAATGCTTACGTCACACTTACGATCAGGCCGCACAGGACCCAGAGCCGACATATCTCATCAAGCTGAAGCGCTGAACTTACCACCACCAAAGAAAACAAAAGTTAAGAGAGAGTGCGCAGTCTGCAGCCATCAACCAGAATAAGTCAATATAACATCGCCACTCCTCTTGCTAATTTAATATTCCATAAATATAAATTGTAATACATAAACCCTCACCTTAATTATTGACCTCATCCATCCACTTTATTGTCCCTTCATAAGCACTACTCTTGCGTATATCTCTCTTGAGCTGATATAACCCCTTACAGGCGAAGCGTTTAGTTTATCTCAGTTTCTCTACACTGTTGGTAGCATTTTGCGCGCTTAATTACCATATAAGAAATAGTAAGGGGCCAAGTAAGTAATTATCAAAAGAAGGCACCTAGCCGGGAAGGCTATGTAACACAGTAAGAGGACAAAGAATGAAACTGCAAAACCCAGCTTGTTGCCCCATATTATTCTAGCATCTTTCTTGTCCACTCTTTGTCTTCAATCCACCAGCAATTGGGGATAAAGGGTAAGCTTTTGATCTTTGATCTTAAGGGGGGGAGCTTGTATTAGACTAGTAATCAGCAGCATTACCTGTTGTCACAGAGCCCCTGACGGGAGGGAGAGGAGCCCTGATAAACTGTAGCCTAATGAGTTCCTCCTCCTGCGCTCTGATCTCACTCGCCCACGCCGCCATCTCTGCCTCCAGGGACGCTAACCTGCTCATAGACGGGCAAGGGAATTATCGGAGGAAAGCGCCAAGCCATTACATTTGGAAGGGATCAGGATAAGGATTTAGGAAGGGAGTGGTGTGGGGAGAGGAATAGTTCCCAACCACTTGGACGACCTGCATGAAGCTAGACCGTCACTCTACCGTCCAGCCCAAGTGGTTGGGCAACGCACCGTATCAACACACTCAAGGAATATGCAACAGTTAAGAATACTGAAAACTAGACTATGATATTCTATTTGTGTCAGTTAACAACATCATGTGGCTATTCATCCAGCATCAATATCATTTACCTCCAACACGCCACATGTGCCTACAACACTTTAGCAACACCAATTATATTAACATTTCCTTCCATGCCAGTAGAGCGCCTGAAGAGGTCACCTCTTACATTATAGCTCACGATACGAATTTGTTTCTCTCATCACCTATAGTGATCTACCTATATACTTCACCAATTGATCTACCTATATACATCACCTATAATGATCTACCTATATACATCACCAATTGATCTACCTATATGCATCTCCAAGTGAAGGTGTGGACATGTGTAGGTCTGAGAGAGTGAAGGTGTGGGCGTGTGTAGGTCTGAGAGAGTGAAGGTGTGGGCGTGTGTAGGTCTGAGAGAGTGAAGGTGTGGGCGTGTGTAGGTCTGAGAGAGTGAAGGTGTGGGCGTGTGTAGGTCTGAGAGAGTGAAGGTGTTGTTGGAAATTACTAACACCTAGTACGTTAAGAGATAATTCTTGTACTAGGCATTATAATTTACTAAGACTACTAACACTTAGTGTAGTGCTATTGAGTTCATTTAATTAAGGCGTAGAAGCGTCTCATCATCCCTAGAAATTATGGCCGTGGTGAAGCTGAGCGTTCTTCATCGCTCTATTTCTATAGCATCCGACTACTAAGGAGCTCCCGATCGATCCCACAGCTTCCATCATTTACGAACGCCACGTTCGGCAGACATAAGTACCATAGACTTATTTAGTTGGCCAATTTTTATGAGTTCTGTTACGTGGTATGCCGTGACGACGTACGATAACAACATAACCTACGAGAGTGGACGTTCAAACTTATTCATATTTCTTGGTTTATTGCATTAATTGAAGGTTTGGGGTAGAAATTAAATGTAATTCGCCTTTCAGCGTGGATTTATGGGCAAGAGAGACGATATTCCGCCAGCACGATCACGTGTCCTTAGTGGTCGCCTGCTCGGACCAGTTGGCCGTGACGTAGTTGCTGGATACATGTTACTATCATCTCTAACAGCTAAGCTGTTTCCGTATTATTTTTGGAGTTAGAACTTTTGATTATTCTTCTGATTTAATATTTTATACACATGTATATGCATATTATATAAATTTACTCTCCCAAAAATTGTGTAGGGAGACGGCTCGAGAATTATTATTAATTTACAGTTCATTTAGTATGATTTATTTAATTTCATTTTGCATTTAATAAAAGAGATCCATAGGTACTGGTTCTCTAATTCTTCAATATTAAGATTGGTCTTGCGAAACATTTAACATTATTATTTACTATAACTAGATGTGGCAGGGTAATGTAGGCACTCACTGTTGTGAGGAGAGGTGCTGCGGGCGCACGGGTTGACTGGTGGGGTGCAGGACACGGCTCCCGGGGTGCACCGTGGCTAGACGCTGCTCCGTGTACCTGGGGGCCAGACACGGAGCTCGCAGGCACATTATCTTTCCACAACAGGTTAATGTAAAGACAAATATTGCTCACTCAACAGGTGGAAACACTGGGGAAAGATAAACAAATGTCAGAAGTCAGGGAAGCGCTACACAACCTGTCTTCATCTACCTGTCCCGGGTAGATGAGGACAGGGCCCCTCCTCCTCACCTGGGTAGATGAGGGACAGGGCCCCCCCTCCTCCTCACCTGGGTAGATGAGGACAGGGCCCCTTCCTGCTCACCTCGGTAGATGACAGGGGGCCCCTCCTCACCTGGGTAGATGAGGACAGGGCCCCTCCTCACTTGGGTAGATAAGGACAGGGGCCCCTCCTCACCTGGGTAGATGAGGACAGGGGGCCCCTCCTCACCTGGATAGATGAGGACAGGGGGCCCCTCACCTGGGTAGATGAGGACAGGGGCCCCTCCTCACCTGGGTAGATGAGGACAGAGGCCCCTCCTCACCTGGGTAGATGAGGACAGGGCCCCTCCTCACCTGGGTAGATGAGGACAGGGGCCCCTCCTCACCTGGGTAGATGAGGACAGGGGCCCCTCCTCACCTGGGTAGATGAGGACAGGGGCCCCTCCTCACCTGGGTAGATGAGGACAGGGGCCCCTCCTCACCTGGGTAGATGAGGACAGGGACCCCTTCTCACCTGTGTAGATGAGGACAGGGGCCCCTCCTCACCTGGGTAGATGAGGACAGGGACCCCTTCTCACCTGTGTAGATGAGGACAGGGGCCCCTCCTCACCAGGGTAGATGAGGACAGTGGCCCCTCCTCACCTGGGTAGATGAGAACAGGGGCCCCTCCTCACCAGGGTAAATGAGGACAGGGCCCCTCCTCACCTGGGTAGATGAGGACAGGGGCCCCTCCTCACCTGGGTAGATGAGGACAGGGGCCCCTCCTCACCTGGGTAGATGAGGACAGGGGCCCCTCCTCACCTGGGTAGATGAGGACAGGGGCCCCTCCTCACCTGGGTAGATGAGGACAGGGGCCCCTCCTCACCTGGATAGATGAGGACAGGGGCCCCTCCTCACCTGGGTAGATGAGGACAGGGGCCCCTCCTCACCTGGGTAGATGAGGACAGGGGCCCCTCCTCACCTGGGTAGATGAGGACAGGGCTCCTCCTCACCTGGGTAGATGAGGATAAGACCCCTGCTCACCTGAGAAGATGAGGATAAGACCCCTCCTGCTCACCTAAGAAGATGAGGACAGGGCCCCCTCCTGCTCACCTGAGAAGATGAGGATAAGACCCCTCCTGCTCACCTGAGAAGATGAGGATAAGACCCCCTCCTGCTCACCTGAGAAGATGAGAATAAGACCCCTCCTGCTCACCTGAGAAGATGAGGATAAGATCCCTCCTCGCCAGATCGTAGCACTCTTAGGATGCTCTCCAAGGTGCGGGGGTCTTGACACTCCTCCACGTACTGGTAGTCCAGCGTCTCCACCTGCCGCCACACCAACACCAGTCATGTCGCGGGAACATGTTTCCACTCCACCTCGTTATACGTCCATGATTCATGACATTATTCATCACTCATGATTGAAAATAAGGTTGAAATATACCTTTAAGCATTCCTAAATAAGTTTAGGAACTTGCATACTTAAAGTTGTTTTTTTTTTTTTTTTTTTTTTTTTTTTTTTTTTTTTGAGATATATACAAGAGTTGTTACATTCATGTACAGCCACTAGTACGCGTAGCGTTTCGGGCAGGTCCCTGGAATACGATCCCCTGCCGCGAAGAATCGTTTTTTTCATCCAAGTACACATTTTACTGTTGCGTTAAACAGAGGCTACAGTTAAGGAATTGCGCCCAGTAAATCCTCCCCGGCCAGGATACGAACCCATGACATAGCGCTCGCGGAACGCCAGGCGAGTGTCTTACCACTACACCACGGAGACTGCTAACTGTTTTAACCAAACAAAATATATGCCAACAATTTAATCAACTGAATTACTTATACCACAGATCCACCGTAAGCCTAACTACTTCAACATTAACCAGGATCATGTGGTAAAAGTAACTTACTAATCGGCAAAGGCAGCTGTATATATTACATCAGGTATGAACAGAGCTTTACGGGCTATTCATGCCCATGCCACCTCTTGGGTGGCTTAATCTCTATCAATCACTCAAAAGAGGTGATGTGATTTATACTGTCGACTAGACAGTGAAAGTTTATCCTGCATTCTCATTGGTCGTCTGAGGCAACAAGTTCGGTATAAACTGGCAGTTCTGTCTTGGTCTTTTTGATGGTACGACATATCTAAGTGTAAGTTTGTTGTTGACAATTGGATGAGTGTTTCGTGTAAAGTGCTTATGTTATGTCTGATATTCGTCACTGTAACTGTCGATTATTTTAGTGTTGCTGGTAAGAATATGTCTGGTGATAGATGTTGTGTAGCGAAATATTGAGATCTTTCATAGAGTCTTGCATCACCATCATCAGGTGATGATGACGCAGCATCTCTCTCTCTCCTGCCTTGAGATATATGTGGTCGTCTTGCCTATATATTGAGATCGTTTGGGACGACAGTCTCCAACCGACAAATGAGAATGCAGGGTAACGTTCCTGGTTACCTTCAACAAGGTAACCATATTTCTTCTTCATGGTATACTACTGCGTCTGTTGATTAGTTGATTTATTGCGTATATGTACATATGAGGTGACCGTGCCAGCCGAGTATGAGCCGTCAAGAAGCCCTGGTAGCATGCTAGGTCGTGTGGTTGGCAGCATCATACTCACAGAGAGGTCGTAGCGTCTCAGGAGGGACGACACTCTCTCCTGAGACATGGTCCCTTGTCGTTATCGCCAGGTTGTGAAGGCTGTGATGCGCCTCTCTCCTCTTGCACGCTTGCCACCTCTTGATGTCTTTACTAAAATTCACTAATTTCACTTCCTTTAGTTGGGAACGCCGTCAGAAGATGCGCAACGTATCTTAACTGTCTGGGCTGCAACTGGCAACATATGATACCAGTTGGTTACTTTGGAATGTTGTGCGTGTTAGTAGTGATGAAAGGCTTTACTCTGTCTTCTCCTTGGCGTGGTGATGGTGATGGTGGTCGCTGCAGTAGACTTGGTCTTGAGGCTGGAGGTTAGTATAGTGTGAGGGCTGTGGCTGGTGCAGCGTGCCTGGGAGGGGCTCGAGCCTGGCCACCCTGCGTATGACCCACGTCGCCACCACCGAGCAGTATACCAATATTATGGGAATAAACACGACCCAACCAGGCATCATGCCCACCTCCTGCACAAAGAAAAGAACAGGTACACAACTTGATAATGAATCAGGACGGACCGAAGCGTCACCAATGTGTTTACTTTCAGGTTTATGGGTTATATATGGTTTATATGTATATATATATATACACATATGGTTATACATGTATATATTATGGGTATATATATATATATATAAAGTCCACTACGGGCTCACCGTAGCCCGTGCTACTTGGACCTTTTTGTTCAGAGTCGCTGAATCTACAAAACATCATAATAAGTACCTATTTTCCATATGCCTCATAAGAGGCATCCACCTCTTGACTTGTTAAACGCTCCTCTTGACTCACTATAAGCGCTCCACTCCTTAACTCACTAAACACTTCGCCTCTTGACTCACTAAGCCCCTCCCCCACACACTCTTGATTCGCAAAGAGTCTGACCTCTTGGGGAGAAAGCACATGATACTGGTGACGGGCGAGGGAAGAGTCCGGCCACGGTGCTTGTGACTGGTGTTACAACTAGTAAACACAGGACGCGCACCACGTCCAAGTCCCTGTCAACGGCTCGGGATTCTGCTTCATTATGCATACTATCCATCGCTCCTTTTTTATGGAACATATAGACACAAGGATTTGTTTAAGATCTTTCAAGAGATTTATACACAATTAACGTATTTTAGGTATGCGAAGGCATTATTATATAATGATATAATGCCCTTAGAGTAACCCTCGCATGCATGTTTGCATGTTACCATGGCAACGAAGACACGCCCAGAACGGCCTCTTATTCAAGAGTTTGCTGGTGATCTGTCATAAATATATTGATGTGAAAACAGCTGTTAACTTGCTTAGCTAAATGAATTGTGGGGTTCAGTCCCTGAGCCCATTATGTGCCTCTGTAACCCTTACCACTACCGCCCACAAGCTGGGTATGAGGTGCATAATAAATGAACTAAACTAAACAAACTGCACAAATATTGCCAGCCAGTTGTCCCATTATATTATATCGTAACCAGCCGCGGCTCACACGATGATTATTGGCCACAATGAACCGCTTAATTAAACAGCATAAACAAAATTTTGAAGTACTGAGGTTCACAACAATATTGGCACCAGAGCTAAAGAGGGGACAGCTGTGAGGATAGGCTAATGGAACTAATTCTCACAAACCTATAAGACAGAAGAAACAAAAGGGATATAATCACAACATACAAGATTCTAGGGAAATAGACAAAGTGGACAAGGGCAGCCTCTTCAAATTGAGAGAAAGTAGGACAAGAGAATACATGCGGACGGTAGAAAACAAATTATCCGAAGGGGATGTAAGGAAATACTCGTATAGGTAGTCAACTAGTGAAACTGGTTTCACTAGTTGATACCAGTTGTTTGTTAATAAATCCTCAGATCAAATTAATCTAAGAATTAACAATATCCAAATTAGTAACAAAGTAGATGGCATATTCCTTGGTGTTCTCATCGATAAGAAGCTGAATATCCAGGGACACATTCAACATTCAGCAAAAATAGTCTCTAAAACAGTTGGCATTCTTTCCAAGATCAGATATTATGTACCTCGCCCTGCCCTTGTAACGCTCTATTACTTTTGCATCTATCCTTATCTCAAATATGGTAACTGTGCTTGGGGTTCTACTACCCAAAATCATCTACGGCCTCTAATTAGCCAACACAAATCTGCTATTATAACAATAACAAACTCTGTCCCCCAGACAGCACTTAGCCCCCTACTTAAATCTTTATAAAACTCTGAACTGTAATGCCAATCCTGGCCTTAAACGCTTCCTAGAATGCTGCAACAGAACCCATGGTGCCTTCCCAATCATGTCAAAGACTGTTACTCTCTCAACTAATTTAAAAGAAAAGCTAAGCACTACCTAATAAACTCCATGTAACCTACCTTACCTCCTAAATGTCAACCTATCTTGTTATTTTCAAACATTATTGATTATTGAGCAACTTGTCTAAGTGCTGATATCTGCCATGTATTACCTTACAGAAAACTGCAATCTTCTGTTTATTTAGTTAAAGTTCCTTCTGGTGTTCTGTTGCAATTTCTGCTGTTCTATCCATCAGGAAATTATTATCATTATCTTTTTATTTTTTAATTCAATATATGCTTTTGATCTCAATTAGTATTAAGTTTTAGTCAAAAAAAATTTCCCACACCTTGCCCGAAACGCTGTGCGTATTAGAGGCTTCAGGCATTGTATGTACAGCTCTATCTATTAATCCGACATTATGTTTGTAACTTATTTTCAACGTGTGTACCTTTACCTGAATAAATATCTTCTCTAAACGCACTGAAAGGTGTGGAAGTCACCTCCATCTACAACTTTAAGAGCAAGAAAAGACATTGAACGTCAGAATATATAAGTGTAACGCAAGAGATATACTGTAAGAAGGCAAGTAGGCGGGCACAAAGAGCTAGAGCTCACTCCCCCCGTAGACACGGATAGATAAGTCTTCAGCCAACCCCAGGTGACATTCTCCATTATTCTGACATTTACTCCTCGTGGTTACGCTCTCCGTTTGTCGATCCATTTTCTTCATTTTGCTCCTTATTTCAGCGTTGTTCTAATACCCAAAGCTTCCCGGTCGGCCGAGCGGACAGCACACTGGACTTGTGATCCTGTGTTCCCGGGTTCGATACCTGGCGCCGGCGAGAAACAATGGGCAGAGTTTCTTTCACCCTATGCCCCTGTTACCTAGCAGTAAAATAGGTACCTGGGTGTTAGTCAGCTGTCACGGGCTGCTTCCTGGGGGTGGAGGCCTGGTCGAGGACCGGGCCGCGGGGACACTAAAAAGCCCCGAAATCATCTCAAGATAAGATATTATGGTTACACTTTCACATATCGGGGACATTAAGCCTATTAGGATGATCGAGGACTCCCCCCCCCAGGTCAACTTTCCTGACAATCGTCAGGATGCAATCCACACAAAGGGCTGGTAGCTGAATGGCCAGCGTGCGGGACTTAGGGCCCCGCGCAGGAATTTCCCTGCAAAAAAAAAAAAAAAAAAAAAAAACGCGGGACTCTTAATCCTTAAACCTTGCAGTAAATAGGGAGTTAGACAGCTGTTACGGGCTGCTTCCTGTGTGTGTGTGTATGTGTACTCACCTAATTGTGCTTGCGGGGGTTGAGCTCTGGCTCTTTGGTCCCGCCTCTCAACTGTCAATCAACTAATGTACAGGTTCCTGAGCCTACTGGGCTCTATCAGCCTCCACCACATCACTGCCTAATGCATTCCATTTGTCTATTACTCGACACTGAAAAACTTCTTTCTAACGTCTCTATGACTCATTTGGGCACTCAATTTCCACCTGTGTCCCCTAGTGCGTGTGCCCCTTGTGGTAAATAGCCTGTCCTTATCTACCTTATCAGTTCCTCTGAGAATCTTGTATGTGGTGATCATGTCCCCTCTAACTCTTCTGTCTCCCAGTGACGTGAGACACTTTCGGCCCGCCTCTCAACTGTCAATCAACTACTTTTGTTTTCCACACCACACACATACACCCCAGGAAGCAGCCCGTGACAGCTGACTAACTCCCAGGTACCTATTTACTGCTAGGTAACAGGGGCATTCAGGGTGAAAGAAACTTTGCCCATTTGTTTCTGCCTCGTGCGGGAATCGAACCCGCGCCACAGAATTACGAGTCCTGCGCGCTATCCACCAGGCTACCAGGCCCCACACACACACAAACACACACACACACACACACACACACGCGCGCACACACACACACACACACACGCACACACACACTGTGTGTGTGTGTGCGTGTGTGGGTACTTGCTTGCTGGGTATCCATTAATTTTTCATAACATCCCCATTTATTTGTATGGACAAGTTAACTTGTTACTTGTGGTAGTTGTGAGTAGTACGCGGCGTCGCATGAGTTTATCTAAGAGATCCCAGTGTCAGAGGATGACTTTGTTAGTGTGTTTCTAGAGGTCGGGGCGAGGAAGCCTGCCAGTAGTTCTTATTGAGGTCCCCCGATAGATAGATCAAGTAGCTACTGACTTTCCCCAGCTCTGGGGAACGTCAGTAGCTACTTGATCTACTACACAACCGTTACCTACCTCCCAGGTACCTATTTACTGCTAAGTGAACAGTTGAATCAGGTGAAAGAAACGAGCTCAACCGTCCATGTCTCGATTAGGTATCGAACCAGGTATCCTTGGGAGTGAGCCGATGACGTTGATTACTGTGCTACTTCAAATTTACGGGAGGGCCACCATCTGCACAATGTAGGACTGAGAACAGGAGATGCTTTTTCATCCACATTCCCTGGCTATTAACCCAGGGAATCACCTACCCACTGAAGCCGTAAATTCCAAAACTGTTTTAACTTTTGAAGTACAACTGAAAAAGATCATCAAGGCAAATTCGACCTTCGACAAGCCGCCGGCTTCCTGTCCTCGTCGAGGCCACTAGTGTTAATGGCTCTCAGGTAAATCCAAGTGCAATTATTTCCAGTGTCTGGGCGAGGACAGGAAGCCGAATTGACAAAGGTCGTCTTATTTGTCCTGATGATTTTATCGGGCTGGATTTTGAATTGGAGCAGCGTTTCGGCATATACGGCTTCGGCGGGTAGGCGGCTCCATGGGCTTATAACCCTATAGGTGAAAAAGCATCTCCTATTTTCAATCCTACATTGTGGCTTGTTGAGCTCCTTGCTCAACCGTTGCTCCTTGTTTTCGTTCCATCTGACCTTTTGAAGAAGCTGTCTGGATCAATATCCTCCAAACTGTTAGTATTTTAAAAGCTTCGCTGAGATCCACCTTGCCATGCCTGGTTTGCAGTGTTCTTAACCCTGTAGCCCATAACCGTTCCTTGTATGAGAGTTGATTTAATTCAAGAATGATTTTTGTCATCCGGTGTTGTAATTTCTCTAAAGCAGATCTGTCCTCCTAAATATCCATGATTGGATACAATAGTCCAAATGGGGTCACACCATAGATGTCTACAAATGAATAACTATACCTTCTTTTGCTTGAAGTCTAAGATTCGTTTGACTATTCTAAGGGTTTGATTACATAACATTACATTACAGCAGATTGATGAAGGAAAGGATTCTTGAGTAAAAATCCACCATTCACTGAAAGTTGCACAACAGGTAGGAGCAGCAGGAGTAAAAAAAAATAACCAAACCCTTGGAATAATCAAGCGTACCTTTGACTTTCAAGTTAAACAAGGTAGTGATTCAACTGTATAAATCTCTAGTGCGCCCCCATTTGGATTACTGTATCCAAGCATAGAGACCTCATCTTCAGAAGGACTGAACTGCTCTGGAGGAAGTGCAACACCGGGCAACAAAAATCATTCCAGAGGTAAGTCAACTCACGTACGAGGAACGGTTGAGGGCCACAAGGCTAACAACACTGCAAACGACAGGACGGATCCAATCAAAGCTTTTAAATACTGAACAATTTGTATCGGACAATTTCTTCAAAAGGTCAGATGTAATACAAGCATGGAGCAACGGCTTCAAGCTCAACAAGCCACACTGTAGGACTGAGAACAGGGGATGCTTTTTCACCCTCAGGGTTATAAACCCATGGAACCGCCTACCTGCCCAAGTCGTAAACGCCAAAACACTGTTGAATTTTAAAATCCAACTTGAAAAAAAATCATCAGGACAAATGAGGAGACTTTTGAGAAGTCGCCTGCTTCCTGTCCTCGTCGAGACCTCTAAAGTGTTAGTGGCTCTCAGGTAATTCAATTAAAATTGAAGTAAATAAACTCATGGAGCTGGGACTAACCCAGTTCAAAATCGAGTTGGAAAAAAATCCTCAATAAAACTGGAAGGAGGATGCGATCGTTGAGAAGCCACCGGCTTCCTGTCCCCGTCGTGGTCACTAACACTATGGTGACCCTCAGGTAAATTCAGGTAAATAAAGTCATTGATAGGGCACTCGCCTGCAGTATATTAACTTGAGTGTGTTAACTAGGTCTTGTTTGCAGACTTTACTACTGTAGTACTCACTGTTGGGAGACACTCCCCGCAGTTACCTGCTGCAGGTATGGATACTCTAATTCATTCAGACAATAACAATGTCACTCGTGAATGTTCCACATGCTTTCCCTGTTATACAAAATATTGCATCAGACTTCAGATAAGCATTTATATATACACTATTATTTATACGAATTATTCTATTACTGTATATATAGACCTTTACTCTCTCTGAGCTTCCTAAATGTAATTGATCTGTAAAACTTATTCGAATAAAAATTTATGAATGTCGTATCCTTCCGAAATTAGTATCAAAACAAACGAAGAGACAGGCAGCAGAGGCAGTGATGCTTGGTCTCCCGGGGCGCTGAGATTCACACACCCACTTCTACACCAGGCCAATACCCTTATCCACCTACACCACACCCACCTACACTCTCTACACCCAGTTTTAAAGGTGGAGTGTGGCGTCGGCGGTTCCTGGGGCGACTCATGTAGCTGTTCCTGCGGCGACTCCTGTAGCGGCTCTTGTAGCTGCTCCTGTAGCGGCTCCTGTGGCAGCTACGGTCCTGGATAGTCCTCACACTGCCTCTATGACTTCCCCGCTTCAGGTGAGTGTCTCTTGGCATTTTCTGGTCTCTGGGATCACAAACTCGTTTGATCCCTCCCTAGGCTTTTTGTCACTCCCTGGCACTTGGGGTCACTCCCTAGGGTCACTCCTTGACTACTGGGATGACTGGTAGTATGTCAGGGAATGCCTGCTCTGTGCTTAACCTCTGCTTGTTAATGTCTGGGCCTCACCCCTTCCCAGTTTGTCACAACCTAGCAGTGTAATGCAGTGTGTGTGTGTAACAGTGTAGTCTTGTTAATTAATTAAGTGCAAGTTAGTGCTATACTGCACCAGCGAGTAGTGGGAGACTTACTGTGTCCTCCAACTACTTTTTCAAGCATTTTGGTACTACATGTATATCAAATGCAACTTCCAAAATCTGGATTATTTAATTCCAGACCTGATCTGGATTTGCATTAAATCCAAATTTCCTTAAATTTAGCCATTTTTGGCTATTTATCACAACATTTTCTGGATTTATTTTTATAGAAAGTGATACATGTTTAAGCATAGACACAATACATTAATAATTATGCACAAAAAATACAAAAATGAATTTGTTCACTTTTTGTAGTATAGGGGCAACAATGCCTATGGTTAATGCCCATTGCTCGGCTACGGACTGTAATTGTTTACCACCAATAGCCACCCCTAAGCTACTGTGCTGCAAAAATTATTAATAAACAGCATCATCTAAATCTTCATGCTTAGAGGGGGTTCCAATATTTTGTCACTTCCCTTTTTACTACTACTGTACTATTTTCCAGTTTGTTCACAAACTGGTTTTTGTTTTTGGTTCAAACTTCCTTTGTTTTATTTTGGTCAGAAATAGCCCTAATACCAGTGCTATAGTGTCTGCCTGCCATCTGGCCTCATCAGTCACATCACACTCACATTTCTAATTCATTGTGAGGAAGTTCCTCTTGTTCTTGTCTGGTACAGCAACTAATGCTGCACAACATGGTTTCTATTTGTAAATAATGATACAGTATATAAGAAGAAAAGCCAGTATAAATGCTTGAGTAACAAGAGGTCAGCTCACACTTACACAAGGAAAGCACGTCTGTATGTGTGCCCTCACTGGAGCTGGATGTCTTGAAAAAAATATACACATGAACAAACTCTTTTATATAATTTATAGTACAGAACAAGTTTAGCAAAAAGTTATAAAATATAAATGCTTTATTTTAATTAATATTTACAAATAAATATTCAAGATTAACAAAAATAAGAAAAAAATATTGGGTAGAAATTGTGTGATGAACCAACAATCCAGATCTCAGTGACTCCCCACTCTTCCAGAATTCAATTTTGCTGTAAGAAATCCAAATTCTGGGTGGAAAATACAGTGTGTGTATGTGGTCCATTGTTTAAAGGGAGCTTTTATAGATTGGTTCAACTTTAGGTGGGATGTACTGTAACCAAGCTGTTACAGGGTTCTTGGCACAGATACCTTTTAAACAAATAATTGAATGATGGATATACAGTAGTTTTGCTTCTTCAGTAATATTGTTTCATAGTTGCCACTTTATTATAAACTGTTGATACATTGATTGGTTATCATGGACACTACACTTGTTCTTTTGTTGGTTGTCGTGGAGTTTGCTGCTAAGTTTAAAGATGATATTCAGATGCAGGTTAATGGGATTATTGCACTAATATTTGGATATGTGATAACATGTTACTGCATACTGTGCATTCTCCCCAAACCTGATGCATACAGACTCAAGATAAAAAGGATGTCTGTAGTTACTGTGTTTGATTAGTGCATGATGTCACATTGAGTCACCACAGTTTACATACTATGCTGTACCATACTGTTAAAAATAAGACATTCCTGTGTAACTGAACTTAATACTGTACTGTACTCTGCATTCACCCAAAATAAAGAGCACCATAAAACTTTGGGTAAAGTTGTGCTTCTCTGGACATCAATAGTTTAAAACCATCATTTTGTGCATTATTTTGATAAAACATAAAAATTCACCAGAGATATTAAATTTGATTGAAAAATGTGACTCGGCATATGATGATGTCGTCGACTAACGATATTTGTTGGTACATATTCGGGTCGACTGAGCGCGTGGTTCCCTGTCACATGGGCCGACTTACCTCAGTTTACTACAGCTGCCCGCTTAGTGACGTTCACGCCTATAAGAAATTCTGTTTTTGTGGTGATTTTTTGCTTTTTGAACATAAAAGTAATTATTATATATCATGCCATGGGTCCCAAGAAAGTCAGTGGTAACGTTTAACATATGAAAATCCATGTAAGGATGACCATAGAGCAAAAACGAGAGATCATTTGTAAATATGAAGATGGTACCTGGGAGTTAGTCAGCTGTCACGGGCTGCTTCCTGGGGGTGGAGGCCTGGTCGAGGACCGGGCTACGGGGACACTAAAGCCCCGAAATCATCTCAAGATAACCTCAAGATAATATTAGTTCCTTCAATCACGGACATTAGCAGAAAGAGCCCCAGACGAGGGGCACTTTCTTACACCTGTTAAACGAAACCACAAAAATACTTGATTTTGAATTTTTTCCTTTGGATTTTTAGGGTTACTTTTTTGTGATGCTACTTTATTCCCTCCATGCATAACACATTTGTGGCTTGTCATATGTTAGTTTGTAGTCATGGACAATTTCTTGGCTATCTCTTAGAGCTCATCTTTCTTATCTCTATAGCATATCTTTCGATGTTGTGCAGTGCTAAATAGGATATTCATCATAACCCCATTTTCCATTGTGATGCGATGGAGAGGCCTAGAAGAAAATAGTAGAGCAATGTAGAGAAATATTGTTACAGATACTTATTAATTCATCTTTCACACTAAAAAGTGGTATGTAGAATCATTACACTTATAAAAAGAGTTTTATCATTTCCTGATCCATTATTTGTGGAAGTATCATCATCTAATGTGAATATTACTTTAAACAAAAATGTTGAAAAATATATCATTTAGTATTTTGAGGTTTGCCATCCATCCATGACAGCTTCTTCAAATGTTTTGATTACTAATATAAATGTTTAAACTTGTCTCTTTATATTTATGCTGTAGTATATCTTTGGATACAATAATCAAATTACATTTTAACCATCAAGATACACAGTTCATATGGTCAGAATATGAGAAACTTGTTTTAATGTTAACTAGCATCTCTCTCTCTTTCTCTCTTTTCTAATACCTGCAGCCATGACTGCTCTGGATAACATGGGTGAAGGTTCAGTTCAAGAAGGAGGAAAATCTCGTCTCTCATTGCGTCAGAATCGGAAACGCACGCTTAATTCAGACATTTCACCAGCTCCTGAACCTCGCACCAGTCACCGTTTTCGTACCTCCAGTACCAGTGATACTGACGATAGGAATAAGGTAGGCTACATCAAATCCATTTGTGGAAAGTAAACAAAATCATGCAAACACTTTGAATATAAAAGTGTTCCATGATGTTTGACTCAATACAATACAGTATTCCCACATTCTATTGGCAACCATTTATGGGAAATTTTCATTTTCACCACCAGTTTCTTATAATCATGTAATGATATTTCCATATTCTTTACAATTGTTTAACTTATTATTTGAAAAACCTACTTAAACAAAAAGATCTGATTCTTTTTCCTCACTACTGAAAAAGTTTAACTTAAAACTATTATTCATTGACTTATTTTTTTTAGATACCAAAGAAATAGTGATTCAGCTTGTGATAGCCTAATATTTAATGATAATATAGCCATTGGCAAACTCCTTAAAACTGTTGAGTATGAAGAGGAAAGATGACATAAAAGGTTTAGACCCTAGTAACTAAAACAATGTATTGTACCTCTACAATATGTAATACCTCTGTTATACAATGCATGTACCTATAACCTGAGCTTGTAAAAGCATCATAATCACCTTCAGTGGTTAAGTGTTTAATATCACACTAGTTTCTGTAGAAGCTATCTTACCCTGTCAAAGTAGGAGAGACATAGGAGTATGTATGTACAGTATATATATTTGGATATGTGTAGGTATATGTTTATATATATGTGGATATGTGTTGGTATATGTGTATATATGAATGTGTGTGTGTATTTGTATACAAGTATGTGGAAACTGGTCAGAATTGCAGTTCTCCTTTGTAAACACACATTAATGACACTGTGTAAAAAGACACCTCGAACACTGTTAATGTAGGACAGACGTAAATCTGTGTATTTATGTTTGTAGGTTAGCTTAGCATTTTAAAAGCACTACAGTCACCTTCTGTGGTTCATTGTTCAATAAATCACTGAATTATATGTTTAACAGATCGCTAACCCTGTCCATGGAGGACAGAAGGAAATGTATATACAGTATGCTGTTTAGCATTGTAAATGTGTGGCCACGACTGTGGTAGAAAATAATAATACAAAAATAAATAATGTAGTCAACAAATAAATATAAAATAAATGCGTACCAGTACTGTACTGTCATTATAAAACTGCCTTAAATTGTCATGTAGTCTTTTGACTCACATATATGCTTCTGTTGACAGACACCACCCATGTTGCGAAAGATGAGTCTAGGGAGAAATGCAACCACCAGCAGTGGAAGACGTACAGCAGGGGGTTCCTCCCAGTCATCAGCTGGTTCAGGGAGTGGATTGGGAGATGGCGTGTACGGAGGGGGCCGTGTGGCTGGAGTCTGCCCTCTGGCTAATATGGGTAATACCTGCTTCCTGAACTCAGTGCTGTATGCTCTAAGGTTTCTGCCAGGCTTCACCCATGACCTTCATCACCTTCATATGCATTTACAGTCTGCTGGGTAAGTGGGTGATATTTATTGATATTCTATGATTCTTTAATTGATATTTGCTGTAAAATGTCAAGTGCATTCTTTCTGCATGTTTAAATCATCAAATGTATGTACAGTAGTCATGAAAATTTAACAGTCTTGAAAATATATTTAGGATATCCAAATTCTTAAATAACACACAATAATTTTGACATTGCTTTGGCAACCCCCTAGATTTAAGGCCTTGGAGACTTGTATGGATGCTGCCTTCATGTACTGGCATCACCCCTTTATATTCTATTTGATACATGATGTGGAAAATGCAAGTCATTGTGAATAAAATATTTATAATTAATGCACAGTACATACAAATCTATTTAACATTTAGGAAATCTCAAGGGCATTTAATGCTCTAATGAATATACTGTAGTATATAAAAATCTATAGTGGTAGAATTGCAGGGGTGGAAATTATCTTTTGGATTCAATGGCTAGTCATCTTAATGACTTTTTCCAGTTTTAGAACGTTTTAGTCTGCTTAGAAAGTATACATGGCCTTAAGAAATAATAAGGGCTTAAACCTGTTAACTGAACATTTAACAAAGTCATGCATTTGCAGCATTTAACACCATAACCCACTCCCCCTTAAAAAAAAAAAAAGGGTGCCTACCATTGAAAAATATGGATGACAAGAATAGTATGAAGTTTTTTTTTTTATGAATAGTACAGCACAACACACTTGCATTACTGTACCACCAAGCCCCCAATCCAGAGTTGGTTCAAAACCAAGAGGTTCCAAATTGGATTCCAGCACAAGATGGAGATGTTTGAGCACGTTTCCTCACACCTTATGCATCTGCTTAGTAATAAATAGTAACCTAGGAGTTGGGTAACTGTTGTCAGGTTGCATCCTGGTGAAGGTTATTCATTGACCTAAGGGGAACCTCAATAAGCCTAACAGTTCTCTTGTCCATGTCAATGGGACAAGAAACCATTTGCAACCTACATCTCTTATCATATGGCATAATAAATAGTTTAGTACATGTGAATGTTGTTATGAATATAATGCTGCAAGGAGATGAGTACTAAACACAAATATTGATAATAATAATAATGCATTTGCGTGGTTGTTTATTGTTGTACATTTATATTTTTTGGCACTAAAATATTTGAAAATGATTGCACCATTATATTTAAAAAGAATTAACTAAAAAAATTAAATAAATATCACGATAGTGATAGGTAAATGTTTATGCATAATAATTGTTCTTGGCTGTACACTGTTCTATACTTAGGTTTTTGGTATACAAAATTTCATTGTTACAAAAATGTGACATGGACAGTAAAATAACTTTTTTTTTTTTTTTTTTTTTTTTTTTTTTTTATAGTGGATGCCTCAAGAGCATCATTGGTTTTAGGTGTGAGAATGTACTCGCCTAGTTGTACTCACCTAGTTGTGCTTGCGGGGGTTGAGTTCTGGCTCTTTGGTCCCGCCTCTCAACCGTCAATCAACAGAATGTGTCCTTGTCATTGTGCAAGGGAAGGGGTCATGATGCTATGTGTGCAAAATTTTTTTTATTCAAAACAAGGGTTTTAGTCTTTCTAAATTTTTGAAGCTATCCCCTGAACATAGGAACAATGTCCCCAAAATTGTCACTTTTGAATATGGCAGATGTTCATTGATTTTATTCAAATGTTGGGGATAGGGTAAGGATGAGTTACTTTTTACAATAATTTCACACTTTGAACTCTGGGGCAACTAGAACATTTTTCTTTGACAGAAAACCTGTTTTAATTTGTTGTGGTCCTTGGGGGGGAAAGGGAAGGGTTTACCACTCTGCATGATCAGGTTTATGATGAACAGTTATGATACATTTTTATATTCAACTCTTGATCATAGTACTGTACAGTATTATATACAGGGAGCGATTTGTTTTATAGTTTGAGTTTCGACTTGCATTGTTTTTAAACTGATTGCCACAGTAAGTTGGCATTAAATATGTGCAATAATCTGAAATGTTGAATATATGCAATATTTCTTTGCCATATAATTAGTTAAATAATATTTATAACTAGTACTGTATCAGCAGTAATTTAACTAAGCTAGACATACCAACATTGCTTGCATTTCTGGGGAAAGCCCCTTCGGCTCCCCGGAGCTATCCGGGCTGATATGAATGTATTAGACCCTGGCATTAGTCAATGCACATGGAATTCTAGGCCAACTGGGGACCACGAGCTAGAACCTGGCTCCCTCAGAGAGGCATGAGGAGCAATGGCCTATAGAATCCCCCCATGTGGTTGGAAGCATTCTATGTTTGCCATCGACCGGGCCAGGCACCCAGAAAGGTAGGTGCCTCAAAACAAATCCTATCTGGTTAAAACATTGATACTGAAAGCCAATCTGTTGGACAGAACTCCCGCAAACGAAAAACGAGCAAACGAGCATGACATCACAACCGTCACCACGCCGCTGTCTGCACAGCTCCCTCCCCCCTCCCTAGGAGGGGGAAGGGGGAGCCCAAGACCCCCACTCTGGCTATCCACACCTTCAGTTCTGTGGCTGATGTGAGACCTGGCAGTCGCACGACTCTGGCTCCAGACTTGTTCCAGTGCTGTGCCTTATGGTGTGGCCCTGTCCTGTGGTCGTGTACGAGCCAGGAGTAATTTCACCAGTACTCGGGCTGCATGTGCTAGGGTTCTCTTCTCTAGGTACCTTGTAAGTACTGCCTTTGTGGCTTAAGATTTTCTTCCACAAATCGCTCGGGATCTACCTCCACCGTGGTCTTTTGCTGCTCGGTGATTGCCTGTCCTTGGTGTCAGCTGGAGTGTTTCATGCACTCCTGTTTACCTCTGGGTAGTAGGTAGCTTTGTCACTGGTAGGGGCGCAAGGTACTGTGCAGCTTGTTTTCACCATAATACAGCGCCCGGCTCTGTTCTGCCTAATGACGTTTTACACGTGCAGGGTTTTTCTTTTCTTTTCTTTTTATTTTCTGCATGGTGGATGGTCTGCCCCGCGGTGTTGTTGATTTATCATTCTGTATTCTTGGTGGTCCTCCTCTAGGTCCCCGTATGTGTACACTTCCCAGGGGTTCAGCAATTACAGTAGTAAGTTCGCTCGGTAGTTTCGGGCATCGTTTAGCAGTACCATCCCTGGGCTTCCCTTAGCAGAGCGTCTAAGTGCCCTGGAAACCCCCGCTGGGGCTCAGTGGTCCAATGGATGTGTCCCCCTGGGTCCCATCTCACTTTGTACAAGTTTGAGGGTTGCTCAAGCCATTTTGGCTTGTCTCAGGGTGACAATCACATGTTCTGCCTCAGTCATGCTGCGTGTTGGGTCGGTGACACATTTGACCCAGAGTCCAGCGAGTGGTGTTGCTTGTTTGTATTCCAGTTTACCCAATCCACTGATCAAGATATTCGGGTGCAGACAGCTTTGGCGTTGCATGGGCGTTTTAGGATGCTGCAGCACATTTGGTTGGTTGCTCACCTAGATGCCCCGAGGCTGCCCCATTTTGGTTATAGGGGCCCAGACTTAGGGGGTGTTAGTCTCCTCAACTTTGGTTTCATCCACGCCCCTGGTCCTTTCCCTGCTGTTGTTCGTCCTGTTCCTTCTCTTCTTCCCCCCCCCCCCCCCCATTCCTTCTGCTTCCGGCTCCAAAGCATCTGAGGGTTTTGGAGTCAGGGCAGGGTTTGGTTGGAGAGACTCTGATCGTTTCGGAGGATGCCCCTTCCGAGGTGGCGACGAAGATATTCGAGGCCATTCCTCCAACCGGTGCTTCTGGGTCTGACCGGTGGGCCCCCTTTGTTCCAGCTTTTCTCGCGGCTTCTGCCTTTTCTTTTGAGGCGGAGGGTTTGGAGGATTGCTCGGCCCCAGGTCCTGGCGTGGAGGTTCCCGGGGTGGGGGAGGTACTGACTTGGGGGGTTTGGGCCCCGTTTGACCCCCCGCTTGGGTTTTGGTATGCTCTGTGCAGGGATTGTTGCTGCAGTGAGTTGGGTTTACTTATCCCTCTTCCTTGTACGAATTTGATCTGGCATCAACTCCTCCCTGGGTTTGGTTCCGGGTTCTCTTGGGTGCTTCAGTTCCTTCTTTCTGGAGGTTTTCGGCCTTCTGCATCCCGCCTCATGAGGTGCGGGAGCCATTGCAGCTTACCTCCTGCGTGACCTGGATTACGCCTCGATAATGGATCCTGCCTCTTTTGAGTTCGGTTCTTCCTTTCCTTACTGGGTGCCTGGTTACCTGGTTGATGGGGTTCTGGGAGTTCTTTTACTCCCCAAGCCCGGCCCGAGGCCAGGCTCGACTTGTGAGAGTTTGGTCCACCAGGCTGTTGCTTGGAGCGGCCCGCAGGCCCACATACCCACCATAGCCCGGTTGGTCCGGCACTCCTTGGAGGAATAAATCTAGTTTCCTCTTGAAAATGTCCACGGTTGTTCCGGCAATATTTCTTATGCTTGCTGGGAGGACGTTGAACAACCACGGACCTCTGATGTTTATACAGTGTTCTCTGATTGTGCCTATGGCACCTCTGTTCTTCACTGGTTCTATTCTACATTTTCTTCCATATCGTTCACTCCAGTACGTTGTTATTTTACTGTGTAGATTTGGTACTTGGCCCTCCAGTATCTTCCAGGTGTATATTATTTTATATCTCTCTCGTCTTCTTTCTAGTGAGTACATTTGGAGGGCTTTGAGACGATCCCAATAATTTAGGTGCTTTATTGCTTTACTTAGGTGCGTTACGAGGTTCCTGAGTCATCCTGGTTGGCAGACTGTCTTATTTTTTCATTAGGGGCGTGGCGTACGTTCTGTCGGTCCCACACACTTGAGTGGCAAGAGGCCCTTACAGTTGTTCAGGTTTACCTGGTGGGCGAGTTGGCTATTTACCTGGTATAGCGCCTGGCTATTTAGTATGTGTCACTCACAGGCTCATACCAAAAAAAAAATATATATATATTTTTTCTTCTAAACCTGTTAATTTGTGTTCACTGATCATGGAAAAGATAATAAAAAAATCGTAAGTGGCATATATTGCC